GCGAATCTCCAACGAACGAGGTTAGGGGGGCGGGGGGGGAGGGCTAATCTCCCTTGATCAAATAACCACCTTGTGAACTGTGGTTTCTGCATGGGTGTACAACAGCTCCTATTGCCAGCAAAGCAAAATGACTTCACTGATTTGAATCACAGCATCCACTGGCTTTACAGAGGTACCTGTTAAATCAAGCATATCTTTCAAGTTCTACACAGTCCCTTTTGTATCAACCTTAAGGAATTATAGAATTTTTGGATGTATATTTCACAACCCAATAGGATTGTTTTCTTTTTTTTTCCCTAGAGAAAGAAGAATGCTAGGGTAATTCAATGTTGTAATTTGTACAAAGATTCTTTATCCCCATTGCCATAGTTGATAGCCATTAATAGAGCTAACAAACTTTCTTTCAGAATTTTGTCCAATTTACTTTTAGTACCATCCAGACTTTGTGGCTGACACTGCTTCTTGGGAACTCTGGAACATTCAGCTTGTATTACTGTATGTGAAGAATTTTCTCTTTTTTCTCCCCCCAGTCCTGAATATATTACCGTGGAAGCCTTAGTTTTTAGTATTATAAGAAAAAGGGAGAGTTTTATCCACCTTTCCCTCTTCTCTCTACCATGCAGAAGATCAAAACCTTCTATAATGTTCCCACTTAGTCATGTTCTTCCACCCACCCACCCCAAACCAAAAAAACAAAAACAAACCCCACCTGCTAAAAAGCCTAAAGCATTGCAGGTTTTCTTCATGAGGAAGGTGAGCCAAGCCAATGTATCATTTGGAAATTTGTCACTGCTTGCCTCCAACTCCAGGTAATTTATGAAAACGTTAGTAACTCGTACTCCCAGTGGAGATCCAGCAAAATGCATTTCTATTGAAGAAAATACAAGATGAGCAATATGTCCAGGTGTAAATACAAACACAGATCCAATAGGGTGGGTGAACATACTTTACAAACCCACAGAGAGCTGAAGCTCTCCAAGTGGGACAGAAAAGTGAACAGAACACTAAATAACGGGGGGGGGGAGCCTTTTGCAGAGGCAATCCTGTGGAACAATGTGATCCATAGAAGCAAGAAGTTTAAGAGAGTTTAGCACCAGTGAACTCAGGAACTAATGCCAAGCACTTCCTCTAGGGGATGACTGACAGCCATCTGAGCAAATCAGGTCACAGAACACCGCGGGAGGCACTTAGGCCCTCATGGGTCAAAGAAAATCCAAGACTCACCTGGAGAAAAGAGTGGATCATAGAGGCAGGTGAGTCCCGCGGAAGGGGATACAATGTAATTATGTGCATTTAAACGCACTGGCAACTCTCCTTTCCTTTTAATCCTTGTGATGAATATCATGGCCAGAAAAGAGCTTGAATGAATTTCTGGAGACCATGAGGCCTTGGGCCAGAGGGTGAAGGAACTGGGAGTACAGGTAGTTTTTTCCCCGTCATTTCTTCCAGTTGTGGGTCACGGCCCAAGAAGAGTGTATGCAATCCTAGACATCAATAACTGGCTATGCAAAATGTCACCGGGAAGGGTTTGGACTGGGTGACAGAGGCCTATGCTACCTTCGCAAGGGACTCCCGGGAAGAGGTGGGGCGCATCGTACAGCAAGTGGGAAGGAGGTGTTTGGCAGATGGCTCACCAGACTCTTTAGCGTGGCGTTCAACTAGAAGGGAGGGGCAGTCACCGAAGACTAGAGCCAAATATGCAGGCAAGGACTGGGGCCAAGAAAGCAGAATACAAAGGCGGGAGGAGGCGGCGGCGGCGGCGAGGGTGGGGACTCAGAGATTCATAGGACATTCCAGCACAGAAGCAAGTATGTGGCACTCAAAACCTCAGATGTTTCTACACCTGTTTGTGGGAAATAAACAGGGATAACTAGAGATCCTTATTCAAGAAAGCAAATATGAGTTGATAGGCATCACTGAAACCTGGTGGGAATATACTCATGACTGGAATACAAAACTGGAAGGCTGCAATTTATTTAAAAGGAACGGACCCAATAGAGAAGGTGGGGTGTTGAATATATGTGAAGGAAAGAATAGTTTCACAGGGAAACTTTTTTATGATGGGGCTATAATTTCTTTTTTTTTTTTATCAATTTCACAGTCCATCCAGAATTTATCAACAAAAATTTGCAAAAATAAAATACCTACACCTCTTTCCTGACATTTGAAACTTTTTGATTCATCTTTTCCTATTATTAATTCTTCAGAAGGAAAAAGAAAACAGTAACAGTTCATATATTTATTGAAATGTTTATCTGCATTTTATTATTAACAAGGTGTGTGTCAATCGTGACTCTCTTTTCTTTGAAATAAAGAATCATAGGCAGCTCTTGACCATCTCTGTTCCAATGAAGTGAATTTTCACCTTTTAAAAGTAAATGCATGGCCAAGCATCTATAAGAGGATTTCTTTCTTACAGGAAGCCTATATACCTTTTTCCACCCGAGACAATACCTCAGTTGTGTATTTTTTCCACCCATATTTACTGAAAAATTGCACTGCTGCTCCATTCTGTTCCGCTTGACTAGATCTTTTGGTAGGTATAAAAAAGGACAAAAGCTACAATTGAAAAATAAAATTTCATGACAAGCAGATCACAGTACGTATCAACCGGATGGACTTTACCAGAAATTCCATGAATGAAACAGAGTCATGGTACGATAGAAACTCACATTAATATGCCCCACATGATACAAAGTAGGACTGAGTGCCAATAAACAGAACCAAGTGAAAGACAAATTTTTCAGGACCTTCTCCGCCTGAGATGCTATTAGCTGAAAAAAGAATTGCATAAAAGTAAAGTACAGTTAGAAGCAGAGCCCGCTGGATTTTTCCATCCCAGTCACTAAAATGGCTTCAGTTATTTTCTTCTTCTACCTCTCTGTCTCTTCCATACTTTTGAAGACCCACCAATCAGCCGTCTTCTCCACTAAATTCAGTGTGCTTGAAATCATGCTGACTTTTCTCCTTCTCTTGTTCTTGCCATGAATTGACCACCTTCCCACTATCTTCACATTCTAAACTTCGAAAGTATAAAAGAACAACAGGCAGAAGTTTGGGGGGCGAAAAAAACAGAAAATGATGGCAAATAAATTATTGTAGCTTTAGCAAATTCCATTTTCTAATCCTGACTAAATTCTCTTGGAAGCCAGCCCTGCTGGGTAAATTTGATTTCAGAGATAATAAAGCCTTTTGGAGTTGCTCATAATTTTTTTGTGATTATAAACATGTGTTCTAAAAACATAGAAAAGCTGAAACATTCAGTGAAGAGACATCATTCATAAACTAAACAGCTCATGTGGAAAAAAAGGTGATCTTAGGAAACTGTGTGTGTGTGTGTCTGTATTATCAAGACTAGTAAAATGAAATGGAATCCTATGAACTCTCGAAGTAATGTTTCTAGATATCAGCTTTTAAGACGGTGGAACAAAAAAAGCAATTGATTATAGCAGATTTCATCTTGATGGTCACCTTTGAACAAGAATGGTTATAGAGGTTAAGACCCAGGATTCAGAAAATCTGGATCAATTTCAAGGTTAAGTCAACAAGTTTCCTGCATGTCTTACAAGAAATAAAACATCCTTACAGAAGCTTATTGCATTGGCTTATGCAAATGGATGGATATCATATCTTCTTTTGCTCATTCTATAGTGTTTCTACATTAAACTGGATTTGTAGAAAGCTATCCAAGTAGTTGCTTTCAAACTGCAGTTACATTTTGATGTGCAATCACAGTAGAACTCCTGCAATAAACATTGCACATTCTACAGTAGTTGTATATCCAAAGCTCTTTACAGTGTGGACAGAAAGGAACAAAACAAGGCTGGGATATGTCAACATTGAGGACAATGAAAGACAGATAGACATTGGAAGTACAATAATATCTTTCAATGTCATAACCTGAACAGTGCTTATTATTAAGATAATTTTTTCCTGTCTGGTACTGTTAGCCCTACAAGTTAGACCAGACCAAGAAACAGATGCTATATAGGCCTAAAACTACTTTTATTAGAATGGCTATATTAACAGACTCTTGCAAGGCTGAATATGCTTCCCCTCCTTTCTTCTTGAGAATTAGGGGGGTGCCTGAAACGTTTTCATAAATATCTCTCTTTGTATAGGCTTAAGCCATGTTTATCTTTCATTGGCTTGGTAACAGATCTTCCCTCTTTCCTTCAGAGTCATCTTCTATACTGTCTACAGGTAACCTTTATGTTGGCTGGTAACCAAGCATGTACCTCTACAAAAGCTATTTTTTGTCATTGCCTTTCTCCCCCCCCCAAAAAAAAACATTTGTTCAACATATTCTGGACACTGTAATCACTGCAGTACTTTTACAGCTTCTACGTTATTTTGTTGATAGCTACCAAAGGATTTTGTTCAGGATTGCATGTAAATTCCTATGACCAAAATGAAGTGTTTAAACTGATGAGCTTCCAGAACAGCAAAGTGTGTGTTCTGTTTATAACAAAAGAACACACAGCCAACGTGCCTGTCTAACATGTGTAACTCCTATCAATTCATATCACTGTCTATACTGGCTGGAGCTAAAGGCATCTGGAGATCATCAACACCTGGAGGGCCATACATCGCCTACTCTTGTACTAAAGTAGAGTTTGGATCTAGAATGCTGAGCTTCTGTAAGTGCATGGTCATTCCAGGCTTTACATCACATCTCAGAACTTGCACTCCTGAAGGAGGGAGAGCCTGGACTTCTTTGGGTGGGGAGATTTTAAGGAGTGAGTGCCCACAAGGCTTAAGATACCTACTTTACCCTTTAACACCCCAACTCAACAAAAATGAAAATAGATCTGAAACTTTTATCCATATCAATTCTGGGAAGCTCCAGGGCAGCAAAAGGCATGCTCATGAGTTGTGCTTTTCCACCCAGATTTGGAACAATGGAACTATATCCCCCATGTTGAACTTCACCAACATCTGTAAAACAGCCAATAAAGTCAGGTATTTCATGCCACTTTTAATGTATAACAGACAGAGTGCATATAGTCAACTGTGAATCATCAGTAAAAATATATCAAGCCATCAGTAGGCGACATAGGGAATGGCCTTGAAGCACAGGAGGAAGAGCTGCTACCCAAACAATGGTCAGATAAGAGGGGCTTGAGCCCAGCCCAAGACATTTGTTTGAATAAATGTCTCAGGCCCCTCTCTAGTTCACATGAAGATAAAGTGAGGGATGGGAAAGCACATTCAGACTTGCAAGGTTCTGTTGCTATATCTGTATCTGTGGCAGTAGAAGTAGTCCCGATCTATCTGGCATCTTAATCTGGTCTACCTTGTTGGGCTGACACCATCTGCATGCACTGAGAAACAGTAAGTGAACACTGTCAAATCTCCTCTTAATCACAGAAGATGGGTGGGTGGGTAGGTAGGTAGGTAGATGATAGAGATGGATGGATGGATGGATGGATGGATGGATGGATGGATGGATGGATGGATGGATGGATGGATGGAAGGAAAGAAGGAAGGCAGGCAGG